TCTTTGAGGGCAAAGCTCTCAAAGAATGCTCTCCGCAGGAGCATTGGCTTCTTCACATGAAGAAGGAAATTTTTTTTTAGCAATGTTATAACATTATATATATTAATATAAATATTTTTTTTAATTTGTATCACCATTAAAGGTCACGTGATATAGAGATTTTATTGCATTTTTTGAGCATAACTTACAATTCTGAGTTTTGATGTTTTTCCCAAAATTGGCCACGAGGCGCAGCAAGTTGCGGGACTAGGTGACTTGCATCATACCCTCCATAAATGCACGGCCCATCTCATCCCCAAGCTTATATAGAGCTTATAAAATCACACTCCATAAATGCACGCTCACTATGTTCCTGAGGGGGTGCACTTATAGAGGGTTCACTGTATATGATTTTTTGTAATATTTTCCTTATTAAAAAAGATTATGATTATCATAAAAATAAATGCCATTTCTTGACCCAATTTGTTTTGTAATAATAAAACAAATCAATTCTTTTTTTTTGTTCAATAAAACACTTTTGTGGTTGGAAATTAAACAGTAGAGTTTAATTGACCACTTGGTTTTCACCTGCAGTTTAGGTCTCACATCATATGATTTACAAACATAGTTGATCACATATATAAATTTCCATTAATAAGGATTTTTTAGGGTTTTTGTGGATTATTATTATTTTTTTGGTGCCACAAAAAGAATTTTTAAATTTATTATACAAATTTGCAAATTTCGCAAAATTACAAAACTCAAAATAACTCTTAAACTATATGTTATATTCAAATAAAAATTTATGCTTTGGATTCATTTTTTGATGCTCTTTAAACTAATAGAGAGACTTTTACAATTTTACTTGCATAAAATTTTGTAACATATATTCACAACTTTTATTTTGATTTTCTAGCTTAAAATAAACGCCATTGTTTATATTAAAATAAAAAAAAGGCTCTATTATTTTATTTTCCTATTTCTCTAGTATGTTTTAAACTTAACTCAGAGTCAGTATCTCTATTCTTTAAAGAGTTATAATCATTCAAAGTTTACTATTGAAAAAAAGATTGGTAAAAAATTGTCATGTGAAAATTTATGTGATCAACTATGTTTGTAAAATCATATAATGTAAGACACCCCACTAAACTAGTGATGTTAGCCGTTTAAAAATCCTTAGCCGGCTAAGCCGTTTACTACCTAAATTGGTAATTTTATTTCTATAAC